TAGAAAAAAAAGAAACTTTCAAGTGAAATCTAGTATAATAGATATTCTCCTAAGTATAAAATTCTGATAGAATTTTCAACATTTCATTCCTGATTGAAACTAGAAAAAAGTGAAATCTAGAAAAAAAAGAAACTTTCAAGTGAAATCTAGTATAATAGATATTCTCCTAAGTATAAAATTCTGATAGAATTTTCAACATTTCATTCCTGATTGAAACTAGAAAAAAGTGAAATCTAGAAAAAAAAGAAACTTTCAAGTGAAATCTAGTATAATAGATATTCTCCTAAGTATAAAATTCTGATAGAATTTTCAACATTTCATTCCTGATTGAAACTAGAAAAAAGTGAAATCTAGAAAAAAAAGAAACTTTCAAGTGAAATCTAGTATAATAGATATTCTCCTAAGTATAAAATTCTGATAGAATTTTCAACATTTCATTCCTGATTGAAACTAGAAAAAAGTGAAATCTAGAAAAAAAAGAAACTTTCAAGTAAAATCTAGTATAATAGATATTCTCGTAAGTATAAAATTCTGATAGAATTTTCAACATTTCATTCCTGATTGAAACTAGAAAAAAGTGAAATCTAGAAAAAAAAGAAACTTTCAAGTAAAATCTAGTATAATAGATATTCTCGTAAGTATAAAATTCTGATAGAATTTTCAACATTTCATTCCTGATTGAAACTAGAAAAAAGTGAAATCTAGAAAAAAAAGAAACTTTCAAGTAAAATCTAGTATAATAGATATTCTCGTAAGTATAAAATTCTGATAGAATTTTCAACATTTCATTCCTGATTGAAACTAGAAAAAAGTGAAATCTAGAAAAAAAAGAAACTTTCAAGTAAAATCTAGTATAATAGATATTCTCGTAAGTATAAAATTCTGATAGAATTTTCAACATTTCATTCCTGATTGAAACTAGAAAAAAGTGAAATCTAGAAAAAAAAGAAACTTTCAAGTAAAATCTAGTATAATAGATATTCTCGTAAGTATAAAATTCTGATCGAATTTTCAATATTTCATTCCTGATTGAAACTAGAACATCGACAAGCTCCCGTTCGCAAAACGTTTTGCACGTTCGCAAAGTACAAGAGCTGTCCAGTATCGGTCCGGCATAACGCTGCCTTGAATTCTATGTCATTAACACCCAGTCGGGTCTGAATTAATTAACTGGTTCCGTAACAGTCGGGACAGCGATGGGAACAAGGATGCAGCGCGTGTCGTTCACTCGGAGCGATGATGTTAATCGGATCTGTATCGATCAAGATCAGCTGCCGATCGACGGCTGTCTTGTAAATGTCACCGTCCGCGGACTCAGTGGGCTACGGACAAACAAAGAAACTCGCCTCGCGACCAGATAACTGCGAATAGGATAAGTCGCGGTGGGCTGCAAATATGGCACGACTTATATGCACCGGTGCATATGCACATGCAACCGGTAAGGTAGGACAGCCGCCTCACGGCATTAGTCACCGTTCGACTCCCGGCAATGTAACGCGAACCTGAAATTTCGTTTTCGTTCGGCGACGTGGCGAATATCGTGCTGATCGCGTGCGATCCTTCGCGAAATGCGATCGCGTGTCAACCGGTGAAAAAAGTTTCCAGAGAAAAGTGCATCGAAATTCAGTTTCCGCGCGCGCGCCCGCACCTTATTGATGTGTTATAAAAGTGATATCGTGTTACGCGATTCTTGTTTTGCCGAGACATTGTCGCTGCAAACGGATCATGGATCTATAACGGGCGATTTAATATGCAGCCACATTGTTCAGTCACGGACAGAGCTATTCACAAAAGATCCTTACGTAAAGAATGATTCAGACGGTTTTCATTCCCGCTCGCTTTATATTGTAAATGTTGATTTATTTTAAGCTCTTTTGTTCAGACATTCCGATCCCCGAATAGAAAGTCGATGAGAGACCTGCCGGGTTCTGTTCTTTTTATATTTCTCCGGTCTGTTATCATTGTTTGACGCTGTTTGCGTAGTCGTGAATAATTCAGAGGATGTTAATGTACCTTAAATTTTCTCGTTTTTACGCTATTCGCCCGTCAAATAGAAATTCGATGCGAATTCTATTCTCTTTGTACTTATCCGATTTGCTGAAATTGTTTGCCGATGTTTGCGTTGTCATTGATGATTTGGAGAATGTTAAATGTACTTGAAACTCTGTTCGACGCTAGTTTTTCGCTGTTCGACCATCGAATAGAATTTCCATATAACGTCGAATGTATTGCATTCTTTTTCATACTTATCCAGTTTAATAAAATTGCTTGAAGCTGTTTGTGCTGTCACAGAGATGCTTCAGAAATATTTTTGTACTCCAAACTCTTCTACTTTCGTGCTAGTCAACACTTAGAGGTATAAAGTGTTCTATTCTTTTTATATTTATCCGGTTTGATAAAATTGTTTGAAGCTGTTTGCTGTCATAGATAATTCGAAGAATATAATTCTGAATAGTAGGATCATCATTATTCAATCTTTATACAGAAATTCAAAGTAAGATCTAACATATTGTATTTTTCATACACTGTTGCAACGTCATTAAAATGCAAATTTCCTGCTACAAATTACAGGAGTGAGCTAGAAATTTCTTTCGTCATTTAACAAATTGAATATGGGTCGATATTCCTATATTCTTTTAATCTCCTTTTTGTACGAAATCGCAGTTACCCATTTCTGCTACGTATACATAAAACCCGCACTCGCCATCACAGAAATTTTATAAAATGTTAATTTCCTTTATTCTGTTGTTTTCCTGATGTTCTTTATTTGTTATATAGAGAAACGATATGAAATCTGCATTCTTGTTATATTCGCTGCTACGACTATTATTAAAACTGTTTGAAGCTGTTTCCTATCATCGGGACTGTAGAGGATATTAATTTACTTCAGATTCTTTTGTTCTTACGCTTTCCAAACCGGACATAGAAAGCCGATATTGCCTCAAGCTATTGAATCTGACCGCTGCGTTATTTAGGAGATACCTGTTACTTCTAGAAACATTCGATTTAGTATAAAATGTTCTCTTACTGTTTTTATATTCTCAAGACATTAACGTTTAAAAAGAAAGGCAACTCCTAATTTCTTTTCGTCCGATTTCGCGAATTGATTAAATTTTGGCTCTTGTATCGATAGAATCGAATGACAAGGAAACGTCAGCGGCTGTACCCTTGCCAATAGCTGCATAATAGAGACATCTACTATATGTATTGCCTTCGAGGCAATACCTATTCCATACACAGTACTAGCTGTATCTGCAATCCTATTTCCATTACCGAAAATTGGCCTCGACGCTGCTAATGAGATTACATCTCCCGCCGTGTCCTGAAACATTTAATTAATTGCATCTCAGAATAGTAAAGATAGAATACTAAAATATCGAGAAAAAATATAATACTGCTTTATAGCAATGGATACAGTTATCCATTAAACATGTAAATATTAAAGAAGACAAACAAAACAATATTTGTGAAAACAACCAAATACATGAACCATACTGAGTCGGATAATTCGGAGATTCACGAACTATAAAATAGATTTCTATCCTAGTAATTTAATCATTTCAATTATAGCAATTTAATAGTTTTAATTATAACATTTAAATAGATTCAATTCTATTAATTTAATAGTTTCAATTCTACTAATGTAATAGTTTCAATTCTACCAATTAAATAGTTTCAATTCTACCAATTAAATAGTTTCAATTCTACCAATTAAATAGTTTCAATTCTACCAATTAAATAGTTTCAATTCTACCAATTAAATAGTTTCAATTCTACCAATTAAATAGTTTTAATTCTACTAATTTAATAGTTTCAAGTCTACTAGTTAATTTGTTAATATTCGGATAAACAAACAGACAAGAACACGAGGCGCAATTTTAAGGGAGCGAAAATTTAAGCAAGTTTCGAGTCCCATCATGGCGGGCGGTCTCCGCGTTTTGCGGAAGCACATAATTGAACGCGGCCGAAGTAGCGCGAAAGGTTCCATCAAAATCGAATTTACGCCGGCGTTCTTCTGCCACGGAGATCGATGGTAAACTTTCGACGAGCACGTGGGTGTTTCTGTAACTTGGTTACGCGGAGCTGCTTCCGCCGTATGCGGCAAGTGTTTAGGCGTAGAGTACACATCGGTATCTATTTCACTCCTGGCGAGCACTAAAACCGCAGAACGTATTCGGATTTCAACGACGATAAAAACCTTATGCAAATCGCTGGACGACGTTCAATTACCTTCATTACAATGGCCCGCGTTCACGTTTCCGCTGGTTTCTATCGGACTACGTTCAACTTAATACTCCATTTCCGGAGTGTGTAAATTCGTTGACGCGAGCACAATGAAGCTTAAATCGAAACACGCCGAAAGACATTTTCCAGGATATTGTTCCGTGAACGATCAACCATCCATAGCTACGTTGATTAGCAATTCTTCGTGCTTATTAAATTCCTTGATAGAGCAACACAATTTTTGCTTCTTGCATGCCTTGGTTTATATTCGTTCCAAGATTGTGATAACGGAAGGATCAAGCTTTATTTCAATATGGAACAAATTCATAACTAAATAGCAGATGTTTACGTAAAAATATTCTCTGCCTGAATTGCAAGAGAATTTTTAATATTTAATACAGCAATTTTTTTTTGATAATTACTTTTAATATCAATTCTTTAATAATTTTAATAAGTTTAAATTAATACATTAAGATTCTTAGCGTCTCTTAATCTTTTTGCTGTTTGTAATTATACCTGCCCATTCTTTCCATAAATGAAATGAAATAGAAAATGAATAGACAATGTTAAACTAGAGTTAAAAACATGGAAATAATCAATTCATTTTCAATAAATAATTGAGGTAATCAGTTGTAACCTTGAATCTTTATTTGGAAATTTTTGAATATTATATATTCAACCTCAGCGAACATGGTCGCAGACATTAAAATATCAGCTCAGATATAGACACTCGATATTGTTGGAGCACGTGACATAATCGTTTGCACACAATTCACATGCAAACTGTCTCTAAACTTCCTGTTTTGTCCATATATATATAATTTGCTTTTTTTTAATGAGAGTGATCACTGACATTATAGTATAGGCGAACGATAAGCTATTAATCACATGCACTATTGTCATAACATCGTTATCAGTACCCGGCTCATCGTGTCACGTAGATAACGGGGAAAGGATCATTACTAAGTTACGTGTACATGTACTCGCGGTTAATATGCATACATTAAATATTTTAAACTAAAAACGGAGATAAATGTATAACAAGTATTTTTTATTTGATAATCATCAGACATTAATTGACACTGACCTGTATAAACATGTTTAAAAAATTACTGTATATAAAACAGAAAGATGCGAAAAATATTGAATTAGTTGAGATATATAAAAATACAAAAAGTATCGTATCCGTTAACAATAAGGTACCGAAAGATACAATAAGTATCGAATTAAGCTACATTTAAATTTTGTTTTAATTTAGAGGAAATGCGCTTATGAAATCTTCATCGCGAATCTCGCTAGTTGTTACAGAGCCAAATATGGACGCTTATTTAAATCTCAAGTGTCGTGTTTATATTACATGATCGTAATAATAACTAGAGTTATCGAAGTGGACATGAACTTTTAAGGGATTTTGAAAACTATTTGAAATTTCAGTCGAATTATTTGTTCAGTGCGTGCTCCGCGTGCTCCGCTATAAATGTATAAAATTCACAGTTTCATAATAAAATAAAATTCGAATGCACCGAGGATAGCATAAAACGCGGAACTGCGCTATAACTTCACACACAGACCGGGTATCCACCTAGTTCATCGATAAAACTATCCGCCTCTCGAAGCTTAACCCTTTTAGCACCGAGCGAAAGAAGCGTACCTAGGCGAAGAATACTGGGCCGAATCAGCGAATTTGTAGAGGTTTGCGAAAATGCTCGTAAAAACCAAAGTAGGCGTGATATTTAGAAAATTCAAAAAGCAGCATATTGCGAAAGGAATGGAGAATAAATCGATACCAATGAAGTTTCGATATTTGTTAAAAATCATAAGAATAACATAAGTATAAGACAATAAAAATCGTACAAAGTAATTTCTCTTTTTCAAAACGTAATTGCACATAGAAAAAATCAACATGTTCAGAAATTGGTACGTAAAAAATAAATCGAAATATTCTATTGGTTTGGATATGTTCGGTGGCAAATGTTTAGGGCCGGGTATTTCCGAAAATAACGGGCGCGGGTTATATTGGCTATCGTTTTCAACATTTACTTTCCTGAAATTCGTGAAAGATTCACTCTGGCATATACAGACCCTCGGCACGAAACAACATAAGATATAACAAAAAGTTGATCTAATAAACATTTGTTCACTTGTGTTGCATCGAATATGAACCATTTTAACATTTTATGAAGTTATACTTAAACACAGATCTTTTGTGATGAGTATAATAAGGCTCTAACAGAGGCGCAACGATATATCGTCGTTGGTATTTTTGGCGAGTGCACCGAACGACGATATATCGTCGTTCGGTGCTAAAAGGGTTAAGTCTGGGTTAGGTTAGTCGTGATCTAGCCGTGGAGAGATTGAAAACGAAAAATGGTTAACCAATTTTTCGGAAATACTGTCCCAAAACATTTATTCTTTAACACGTTCCGTGCCGAGCTGTTTTTACTCGACTCTTCACACTGGTCATATAACATTATACTAAAACTTGATATATTACATGTAATTATTAATTATCGTATATTTAACAATAAAACGAACTTATTATGACCGATTCATGTGGTGGAAATTAATTCTTCGGTTCTAAATTTGTTATGAACTATGTTTTTAGCGAGTTAAATAATCACGTGGTTGGTAAACATGGTTAAATAAACGGTGGTACACGTGGCACGGAACTTGTTAAACAACGAAAACAACAATACTTAGCTATTGACTTTACGATTTATTATTTGAATACATGGTGCACATTTTAAACTTTTAATATTACTCTCATCTTTGGTGACACTGAAGATGGTATGAATAGACTGCGAATTTGATGTAGTCGTGATTAGGCTAGATTAAATACAAAACGGTAAAAATATTTAAAGAATTTAAAAATACTCTTGCATTATTTTCAATTCATTGAAGTTGTTATGGAACGAAATAGATATCTATATAGCTCTTGTGCATCATGCAACTGGTGCAGATCATTTTTATTTTGATTAATAGACAGCGGAGTTTTTAAAATTGTCTGCATTAATTACAAGATTCAAGAGCTACATATCATACACTGATCCTGAAACATTAAAAACGTTCGGAAAATTTAGAAACATTATTGTATTACTTGCAATTCGTTGAAATTATTAAAAAAAATTAAGT